GATTTACCTATGTCATGGTGCATGGGTGCACATATATCACTGTGTTATTATGTTTTCAGTTCTTGTGGGAAAATACAAAGATGGGGAATAGCTGGGTCAAATGTGACATGTAACTCTAATTTTAAGGAAACTTAACAGTGATATCTATAGAGGTTATGTCAGTTCACACTCCATCATAAAGAGATTGGTATCTTTTCCCCCATAGCCCTTCTTTTTTTTGTTATTTATTTTTAATTAATTTTTTTGAGAAAAAATAGCAATAAAAGAGTTTCAAAACATGTTAGTAGGACAGTTGCAATGATTAATACATTGCATATTGTTGTCTGCATAGTAGTTATTCATAGTACAAGATGCAGATATGTTATCGTGTCTAAACACTATTAGTGCAAATCTTTCTTCTCATTGAACTAAGAGAATGTAGCTATATATATATATCTTAACTATTTTGTATATGCAGATATATTTTTTTCACTACAAAATGGTCCTTCATTTATATACTTTTTTGTTTAGTTTTGTTAGAGAAGGGTATTCCTTTGTCATTCAGATATTGTAGTTGCCTGAATTCAGCAAAATAACCTAATATAGTCCACTAGCCCATAATAGTAGTGGGTTATCTGCAGAACTGGCAGTGTCAGAAGTTGTTGGCTTGAGACTTTTACAACTTAGCATATTAATACAGCTCTACTTTTTATGCTTCACGTTTATACCTCTCTGCTGAATGGTTAAGACAAAGATAAAGCAAGACCTATACAACAAAAAATGTAAAATTTTTTGTTTGACGAGGTTAGTCAAATCCCCTCAGGATTAACCTTGAAGCCCTGTACAGCAGTTTGTAGATCTTTTGTCAGTGTCAGCCATCTGGATGAGACATAGTCATTGCTTGACCAATTTACTCTCTGTGAAAGCTTGAGAGAATGTTTTATGTCTAGGTGACTCTCCTTCGGCACACTCTACAACATTGTTCACTTTCCTCTGTGGCCTCATGATCTTGAGCAGAAAATTTGGGACACCAGTGAGTTACAGGATTTTACTGTACAGGTTCTCTTATGGCCTGAGTCCTCACTGACCTGAAGGGCTAGGGCCAAAATGTTGGCTAACCTTGTACCAGAAGCCCTTCTAGCATTTGTTATTGGTTGATTTCTTGATAATAGTCATTCATTCCGGGGTGAGATGGGAACTCAGTGTTGTTTTAATTTGCACTTCCTGAATGACAAATGATGTTCAATACATTTTTATATATTTATTTGCTATTTGTATTTCATCTGAGTAGTGTGTATTCATTTCAGATGCCCATTTGTTGATTGTGTCTTTGAATTATAGGGACTAGTTTTTTTAAAGAATTCTTTATATGTTCTAGACAAAATCCCTTTGTCTGTGGGACAATTACCTAAATTTTTTATTGCCTGCCAAGTATAAGAAACTAGATGAGTGAATAAGATCCAAATGGTTCAATAGATATAGTAAAAATGAAAGAAACTGCTTGAAAGGAAATAACAAATGAGATGGGGGAAAGAGAAAAGAATAGGGGTCAAAAAAAGATGTTACATACCCAGGATAACTAAGATAATTGCAATACTAATTTCTGTTTGTTTATTGAAATGAACATTTAGTGCTTATATTCTTTGATCAATTTTGCATGCCTATACTTGGTAATCTGAGCAAATACTTTGAAGATAACAATATGCAATCTAATAACCATTTTTAATTTCCTATCATCTTGTTTTGAAATTCTATAATTTTTGTTTTTTCTGTCTTGAATATAAAAGAGAAACTTGCACCAATGTACAGAAACACCGAGAACAAAATTAACAAATGCCAACACAGACAAGCCACCATATTTCTGACTCAATTACTATGCACTTTGCTGCTAACAGTTTACTCTTTTTAAACTTTTTGCTCCTGTACTGTTGCTTTTTATTTTTTTAAATATATTTATTTTAGGGGACTGGCTAGATAGCTCAACGTTCTAAAGAGAATATAACAAACAATAAGAAATGATACAGCATTGCAAAACAAGGTGATAGAAACCTTTTTAAGAAGTACACAACTCAGGTGAATTCTGAACAAAACAAACACAAACATAATTCATTTTTCACAGTATTTTATTACTAGAAATTTCAGCATATACTACAGCAGTATAAAAATATTGATCATCCATGTGTAAAGCATTTCAGGGTGCCATCTAAACATGGACAGAACACAGGTTATTCTTCATTGTGTGGTACTATCCAGTAAAATGGGAGTATTCACTATTGAGATCTCTTGTCCACTAAGCACTCCCTCTCCCCTGTGGAATCAATTACTGCATACATTCTCTCACATGCATACAGAAATACTGAATTAGGCAGGTATAAAAAAGAGCCTTGATAAAGAAACAGAGTTTCTATGGCCCTGATATTCATTTCAGGGCTAGCCTGAAAAAAGAATATAGAGATACATACTGAACAATAGGTGGGATATGGAGAAAGGCCTTAAATATTAAACTCTTTCTGTTTGGAGTCTGGGGAGGCAGTAAGGCAATAAAGGGAGTGAAGTTAGGGATGAAGGTGAGGGCAGTATCCATATATTTGAAAGACTGGAGAAAGGTTTGGAGTCATGGCCAAGTAGATGGCCAACATCAGGGGTCAAGACAAAATTAAAACTCTGGAAAAGCAGCAAATCAGGAACCATAGAGGCAGACAATAACCAGGATTAAAATAGAAGACAGAGCAAGGAAACACAGGCGAAGAGCCTTCCAACAAGATGTTGCCATGGATGAACTTGGGTCACCCAAAGCTGGGGTGAACACTGGCAAAGAATCTTTCAAAAAGCTGGTGGCATGTGAACTTGGGCCAGCCAAAGCTGGGTTGAAATCTTGGCTCTGCCCTGCCTAGGGGATTTTGTGATAGTTCCTGCAGGTCTCGGAGCCTCATGATCCTCTCATATTTAAGAGAGAATACTGATAGTACCTACCTCCTCCCTCCAATGGCTGTAGTATAAATGACACTGACTACTAAATGTAAAGTAGTACATATGTCATGGAAGCTGATGGTGACGATTACTACCTTCCTCACTACTTGACTTTTCTTCTAGGCCTGTACCATAATGATGGACGTCATTGTGCACATGCTCAGTGACACAAATCAGGAACCAGAGATGGTATTTGCGCTCTTGCTTGTGTGCCACAATCCTGCCAAGGTTTCCTGTGCATTTGTCTTGTATCTATTGCTTCTCCTCCATCCCCATTGCCATTGTTTCTGAGTTGGCTCTTTACTATCTCTCCCCTGCATACATCCTCTTTGTGCAGATTGACTGCATATGAGGGCAGAACAACTTTTCCTTCTTCTTTGAATTCTCAGTGTTCAGAGGTTAAAATGTAGACTACATAAACACAATACAGAAGAGTAAATGAAATGCAAAGGATAGAAGGACTATAAGTTAAAAGGTTTTTAATCAAAGGTATCACATACCAAACAAGCTACAACATAGTGACTAAATCTACGGATTATAGAGCCCGTCTATAATAAGTTCAATTTTGCCACTTGCTAGCAGTTTAATCAAGGGAGAGTTACTTTACTTCTATTTGCTAGTTAATTTTGATTACCAGCTTTACTGGATTGAGACTCCTAGACATGAGATTGGATTATTAGGATGCTAACATCAGTGTGTTAATCCATTAATGTGTTCACAGCTCAATGGATTATTAGAAAGTGGAATTTAGTTGGAGAAATTTGGTTCATTTAGGTGTAACATTGGGTGCCTTGTCTAGTCCTTGCCCCTTCCTCTCTTATCTACTTCCTCTTTGTTCTGTTTCCAGCTAAAGTGTTCTACTATGCCCTTCAGTTTAGTGTTGTCTTCCACATACAAATGAGTTTCATGAACATTCTTGTCTTGTGCAATGATTCCTGTATCCATTACCTTCCATTAGTGCTTTTTCTTGGCTAAAAGTTATTAAGCACTTGATGCTCACAAATCAGATTGAGGAAGAAGTTAGGGGGATATGAATGAGGGTAAAGGAGTGGGACAGTTTATCTCAGAGCTGCAATCCTAACATTCAGTCCTGCTTGTGCTACTAACTTCAAATGAGAGTATCACCTGAATCTGTTTTTGTGTCTGCAAAAATGGACCCACTGTTAAACATAACTATAATAAAAATTTGTTATGAGGATTATATGAGAATGTCACTGAAGTTAGTTTTTAAACTGTAAAATGACAGAAATATGCATAATTATTCTATTGTGATCAAGGTTGAAATAAATCCTAAAAATAGAAATAGGAATGTGGAGAAGGTATTTTTTCTGACAGTTAGTGGGCAACTATTTTTTATAGTACATTTTTATTTTGGTTTTCAAATGAGTAATTGTGTGGTTGTATAAAAGACAGCCATTTTTAAAAAAAAAGGAAAAATTGGGGAAGAGCAATTCTTATTTTTTTAATTTTTGCAAGTTTTAAAAATTGTATTAGTATATATTTGCAGCATCTGAAGTTTACACTCATCTGGGGGAGAAGGTGCATGTACAAAAAAAGTTTATTTATTTTTTAAATTCCCTTCCTGTCCCACCTGTCTCCCTCCTTCCCCCTCTAAATTCTCTTTCCCCATTTTCATTCTTCTTATTATTATTCCCAGTTCATGTTTATGACATATAATATTTACATTTACTGTGATTAATAGCTTCCTGTCTATGGTATATCTTAATTGTTATGACTTCCCTTCCCCTCCCTTTCTTCCCTTGCCGTCTTTCTCTTAGGCTATTTGCAATGTGTAATTTCATTGTATTTCAGCTTCTTTGGAATGCCAAATTCCTTCAGTGTCTCTTAATTCTCTTCTCAAAAGATTTGACCCAGTAACCACGTGGGTGGTTATTAAGTGCAGCCTGGCCTCCTGTGAGCAGGAGTCAAATTCACTGATTGAGTCACAGTGCCCTCTTGCAGAACATACAATTATGATGTCCCACATCAGCTCCTCTATATAAAGCCTGGCTCCTCGGAGCACGCTCAGTGGCACCAAGAACTAAGGGACAGCCAGCACACCAGCCCGCGCCTTTCCTACTCTGCGCGGCTAAGCGGCCCTTACTTCCCAACTACAAGCTCAGAACCTCGGTCCTAAGAAAAAGAAAGAAACTGAAGACTGAAGGAACCATGACCATCTTTTTGTTCCTAGTGAGCGGAGCTGTGTTTGGCTTCATATTTGTCTTCTGGAAAAACCGAGTTCAAGAAAAGGTAAGGGAGATTGTAATTACATGAAGCTATCTGAATACGGAGATTGGGGAGTGAGTTTTTAGAATAATGAAAAGATAGTGAGGTAAAAACAAGAACTTGTCTCTTGCTGTTGAAAGACTCACAAACTTTAATTACTTTTCTCTTTAAGGCCTCATTTTGTCCATAGATTCCAGGGATGTGCTTTGCTGTAAAATAGTACCAAGTTACTAAGTGATGTGGACTGATTTTCAACCTACCACTGCATCCCGTTTTAAGAATTTCTACCTGATCTCTCCTTGTTTCACTTCTCCCATTTTGCGCACATTCCTCTTCTGTTCTCGTGACGACACTGTGAGAGCTTTTTGGATAGTAATCACAAATATTTCAAGTCTAAAAGTGGGCCAAAGACAGGATCCATCTGTAAAAGTATAACACTGCTCAAGAATATAAGGGATACGACACTTTGGTAGTAGAAGGCAATATTCTTGTATTTTTCTCAGTATTGTCCTTGGCAAAGTATACTACTGGAGCATAATACATTCTTACTCTCTAATTCTTAGGAAAAATCAGTTCATCTTTTGTAACCAAGCTTTGATTTAGTAGTATTTGGAAATTGCAAAACTCAACGAACTACATATGTATAATTTCCTTTACAGAGAACTATTGGTGATACGTCGTCAAATTCAACTGCTTTTACAGTAGTAAAAGCGACTTCTTCCTTCTCACATCGCATGAGTGCTAACAGTCCTTCAGTCTGCAACCTTTCTCAAGATATCATAAATAATTTCCCACACTCGATGGGCATACACAAGCGAATACTGGTAAACCTCAAGGTCATGCAACACCAGCTGGTTGAATTGGAACAACATCTGATACTCAAGGGCTTAAATGGTGCATTGGTCAAACAGAAATACACTAAAAAGGTTACACGATACAGTGAAAGTGCAGGCAGTCAATAAAGGAATTTTGACTGGAGTTAGTTGAGTCTATGTTTATTCCAAATGAATTATTATTTAAAAGTGATGAAGTGCCAAATCAGACCCAAAATCCAGACATATCAATTTGCTTACTCACATATTATTAAAAAAACTGAATAGTTGTCACTGCTATTATAAATTTTACTGAGGAAGTGATAGAAGCACAAAACAGAAAAAAAATACAGGACAGTAAAAAGAATATAGTTGGTATATAGTGATTATAATTTTGAAGGTGAAAAACTTTTATCTATTGATTTTTATTGATTTACAGTGTAATAATTCTAATATGCCACTGTTGAATGTGTATAATGGTTTTAAGAGCTATCATTGGGAATGCTAAAGTATGTGAAGAACTCCATTAAGTTTGTGCTTTTTACATTCAAATAGATGAACAAACCTATACCTACTACTTATGGTCAGCTTTTGAAAGGAATTGCTTTTTCTTTATGTATCCCCCATTCAAACCAGATATTCTTTCATTTATAAAGGATGCAAAATAGTCCCTAAATTTCAACAGTCACTGGTAGAAAATGGTATGCATTTTTCTATGTGGAAAAAAATTATGCTTCAAATACCATGAAAATTTCAAGGTAGAATTCATGTATACTAATATGAATTAAAACTACAAAAACATATGTCTAAGTTCTAGTCATCTGTTTCAGATAATATTTTGCAAAAACCCAGTATAATTAAGTAATCAATTTCTCAAAGTTCACTAATAGTATTTGACCTACATTCAAAGAAAACCTTCAAAGTATCAAATATGTGCTCATTTTACACATTTGAATGTATGTATGTCCTGCTTATCTCTACTCATGTTCCCTCCCACATGTAAACTACAGGGCAAACTTTGAAAAAAAATGGTCTGAGTCCTTTACTCTTTTAAACTTCAACCAAAAAAAAAACAGAAAAAGGAATCTGAAATGTATCAGAAAATTATTCCTCCTATTGTTAATTCACTTACCAAAGACAAAGCCAGCAGTGATGCATGTGCATCTTAAATTTTTCTGTGTGTCATAGATTCCTTTAGTTTTCTGATAAAAACTATGGCCAGATGCTTAAAAATGCATTATACATACGTGCAAGAGTATTACATACAATTTTGATGCTATAATTCTCTAAAGCCTAGGTTAAGAACCTTGGGAGTTTCTTTTACAAAATAATGTGTTATGGTAAAGAAAAAAGAATATATGATGGTAAATCTTAATTGTCAATTTGACTGGATGAAGCCACTCCTGGAAATATGATTAGACTACAGGGATGCTATAATCAGCAGGTTAATGTTCCATTTAGAGGTGGGGACCAATTGGGGAAGATGGGTTAGGGTCTCTCTCTCTCTCTCACTCTCTCTCTCTCTCTCTCTCTCTCTCTCTCGCTTGCTCGCTCGCTTGCTCTCTGTCTCTCTCTCTGTCTGTCTCTCTCTCTCTCTCTCTCTCTCTCTCTCTCTCTCTCTCTCTCTCTCATTGTCTTTGTGCTCTGCTTCTTCCTGACTACCTTAAAATGAACAGCAACATTCTAACACACCTTTCTGCCATGCTGTTTTTATCTGGCCATTAGCTGACCAAAGACTGAGACCTCTGAAGCTGAACAACTTCTCCTCTTTTAAGTTTGTATGTCAGATATTGTGTTGCACCAAAAAGGAAAATGATTACTACATTTACTGTGCTGTAGTTTTTTCATCTGTAACTTAAAAACAACGCATATCAGAGATTGTCGTATGGGTTAAACAAAGACTTAGAGTATCATATCCTACATAATAGATATGAAAAGTCTTTGTTTAATTTTAAAAGTGTAAGATACAGCTAAATGCAGAGCTGTAAAGAAGGAATTGTACATAGACATAAAGGGAACCATACAAAAGGAAGGTTTGGCATTGCCATTCTTATTATATTTCGTTAAATTTTTATTTTTGAAAGAGAATAAAAATATGAGAAATGATACATAATTTCAGTAGACAAAATGATAGAAATTCAACACTGGTTGTTATATTCCATATTATTGTCTTCAAATTACTTGTTCAAATTGCAAGACATATGCATGAAAATTAGTCAAAAAATTAAAAAGAGCCAGTCCTAGCCAGGTCCGGTGAGTGTGCAGAGAGCTTCCTGCTACCCTGCGCC